CCCTGTGTTCCCAGGCTGGGTAACATACACCCCCCAAGGGCGACTGTCCCGGCACGACACCCACCCAGAGGGAGCAGCCCTGGGCTGGAGGAGGCAGCACAGGAGCCACCAAACCTCATGGAAGCCCCAGCCATGGACACTCTCAGCATCCTGGGAAGCCCAGACAGGATTTGGGATGACAGCTCCATGCACACACAGAGGGTCAGTGCTCAGCCCTGCTCTCACTCTGGAATAATTCCCATCAGGGAGGCACAGCATCACCCACACTCTGCCCCCAAAACAGGCAGATCCATCCTGAGCAAAAGGCTTAACCACTCCCTGACTTGGCTCTGTTTTCCAAGTCACCTCGAAGCTGAGGTTCTTCAGGATATCTGAGAGGGAATAATTACCCCCAAAAACCACAGCCTTGAATGCTGGTCCTGCACCAGGAGGGCTGGAGTCACTGCTACCCACTAAACCACTACTAAATCACACTGGTTTAGAGTCAAGAGCTTCTTGAAGACACTGCAGGCAGGAGGGTCCCAAGCCACCAGCAGGACCCTCAGTCCCAGCAGCGGGGGCTGACTGTGCCCAGCACCACCCGACCCCACAAAAACCTGATCCCACAGGCTTTTCCCAGGAGGTTCCAAGCCCACACCAAGCCTCAGCCAGGGCAATCATACCAGTCCTAATGCAAACTGTGCCGTGGCCAGGCATCTGAGAGGAGCTCTGGGTTCTCCTTGACCCAAGAGCTAACAAGGGTTTTTAATCTGAGCTCCCTCCCCACCCAGGCGGCCACCGCACACAAAATTCCTGATTTCCCTCAAGTGCTGTTGGGATCAAAGTGAAATGTGAGACACACACACACACACAGAGGGGAAAGATATCTCGGGGTTAGTCAGCTGTTGAGCTGCAGAGCAGCGTGGTTGATGGTGTCAGGGCAGAGCAAGGAGAGGACAGTCGGGATGCTCCGGTACCTGCCCAGTGACTCCAGCCCTCCTCCTGCAGCACCAGCACTCCAGGAACAAACACTGCAAGACTGTGGCTTTCTGGGCTAATTGTTTCCCTGGGAAGCCTCATGCAGATGTCCCAAAGAACAAGAGGAAATCCACTCCCACTGTGTCCCCTTTCCATACTTTCCCCCCCACAGAGGTGGGGACCAGAGCAAACATCCTGCTCCGCCCGGTCCCAACCTGTGTCCCGGACTCCTGAGCAAGCCCCAGAGCTGCTCCTCTACCCCTCAGCACTGAAAATTCCCCCTCCAGAGCCCCCCCAAAGTGCTGGAGCCAGTTTGCAGAGCTCAGCTGGAGTCTTGCATTTCAACTCCAGCTGGTCAGAGCGTTTTTACCACAATTAAGTATAATCAAATCACGGTGTTTTCGCTCCGACCTGAGCTGTTCCACAGAGATGCCCTGGTTTGAACTCCCCTCTTAGACAGGCAAGACTTGGATGTCTAGGATTTTTCCAAGCTGGAGCAACAGGAGATGAAGATACTCAAAACATTCGTGTTTTTCCACTCAGCTGCTGCCATTCCTCCAATTCTTTCTGCAAAAGCACTCAAAGGTTTGTTTTTTAAACTCAAAGTGCAGCAAAGAGCAGCGTCCTGGGCAGCTTTGCTTTGAACCCTCCTGCGAGGAGCTGATGGGAAACAAGTCCTGGAGCGAAATTCTCAGACTGGGAGCTCAGAAATGGTTCCCAGGGTGGCAGGAGCAGGTTCTCAGGCCTGGTTTTTTTTGCAGAAGCCAGGCGGGCAGGTGTAGTGGGTGAGCTGAAAGGGACTTCCCCAGACCTCAGGAGAGGCCTGAGCTTCGACAGGGCTCGAGGGAAAACGAAGTTTTGGAGGTAAAATCTACAAAAATCCTGCCAGTGCTCAGCAGACAGGACACACAAGAACCAAGATGTGGGAAGAGCAGCAAGTCCGTGAGACACGACAAAAAAAGTGGGTTTATTGAGGCAAGTGAAGCAGCTGCCAGATGCCAAAATCAGAGTCACATCCACCCTGAGATATCAGTAGCTCAAGGACACCTTGTTTTCCTCAACAACACCCCCTGGACAGGTCTCCACCAGTCTGGAGAAATCAGGTCCACCACGCATGGAGAGGCTGTGCTTTGTTTTCCAGCCCTTTCCAGCCCCCAAAACCACACACAGCAACCAGGCTGAGCCCACCTGCCATGCCAACAGCACCCTGGTGAGCCAGGGGGAAGAGGAGGGTTGCTTCATTAAAGGATCTCAAAGAGGGGAGTCCCAGGAAGAATCAATCTGTTACCTGGCACCAGGAAGGGTTAACAGAGCAGGGGATAAAGATAAGCCACCTATATTTTTATGGACCTGCAATTTAAGCAGAGAGGAAAGAGTTGGGACATGCCCAGCTTTTGGCACCTCCAGCCCCCTTGCACAACAGCTTGGGAGCAGCACCAAAAATCCTTCTGGTGGTTGGTGCTGCACTTGAGAGAATGATCAGAGACACGTCCACCTGCCCCAGCTCTACACCAAACTCAGGGTACTGGGAGGAAAACTTGATCCCTCCTCATCTCCCAATGGCCTTAAGGGACATGGGAGAACAGAATCACAGCATGGTTTGGGTTGGAAGCACCTCAAAGGCCATCCAGTGCCACCCCCTGCCATGGGCAGGGACACCTTCCACTAGCCCAGGTTGCTCCAAGCCCATCCAACCTGGCCTTGGACACTTCCAGGGATCCAGGGGCAGCCACAGCTTCTCTGGGCAACCTGTGCCAGGGCCTCCCCACCCTCCCAGGGAAGAGTTTCTTCCATGTATTGAACCTCAATTTCTCCTCTTTCAGTTTGAACCCATCACTCCTTGTCCTGTCACTGCAGTTCCTGATGCAGAGCCCCTCTCCAGCTTCTTGCAGGCCCCCCTTCAGCTACTGGGAGGCTGCTCTGAGGTCTCCACACAACCTCTTCTCCTTCATCCTTCACCACAAACAGGAACCACCTCAGCTCACATCAACACGTGCAAAAAGAGCCTCCTGAAAACCACAGCAGAAGAGAGAAACCTCCCAGATATTTGCACGAGTTTAACTGAAAAAACCACACACACTCATCTTTCTCCTCCCTCCCTCCCTCCCCACTAGGTGCATGGAAGGAGCAGGGCTGACACCTTCCAAGTACATTATGAAATATTTTATATATACATATATATATTATATATAATATATATTTTATATATATTTTATATATTATATATTTTATATATATGTATTTTTAGATATGTATTTATATATGTATTTATATATGTGTGTGTATTTATATATATATATATGTATTTATATATATATGTATTTTCATATATATATGTATTTATATATATATATATATATATATATGTATTTTTATATATATATATTTAAAAACCCTCCAGTGCTCTTCCTGCTTACAAACCCCACTCTGGGAGCCACTCTGCTGAACCAGCTCCCTCCCAAGCCCCAGAGTTGGGTCATTTACCCCTGTCAGTGTTCACAGCTGGAAAAAGGGGTTATGGCCTCTCTGCTGCACATCCAAGGGCAGGAGGGAGCCAAACCCGCCTGTTTATTTGTTGTCTGTGCAGAATTCCTGCATTCCTTCCCATGTTTGCTCATCTGCTCTCAGGACATACTCAGAGCTCAGCAAAGGGCTTTGGGGGCACCACGTTCTCCCCCCCTGGGCTTGGAGCTCTTGCTGGAACCAGGACAAGCATAAAGAGGGAAGAGGAAAGGCAGAGAGTGGGTTATTACAGAATATTTTCAAGGTGGTTGAGGAAAAAGGGAGAAAAAAGATCAATTCTTCCCCAGATCTGCTCTTCACAGAGGCACAGCTCCACACTGGATGTCTAAGACTGGTTCTAACTTATTTTTACCCTGGAGAAGCACGATTTACCCCCAAGCAGAATTGGTCTGGCTTCTCAGATCCCTTCAGGAGTTCATCCACAAGGCTCCAAGCAAGCAAGGGAGCTCCAAGACACAGGAAGCCAGGGGTGGCTGTGATGAAGAACAGGCCTTCACCACGGCATTAACCAGTTACCTTATTAGCTCTAAACCCACGGGGAGAATCTAACTCAGGTGGGAGCAGCCTAAATTCCCTGGGGAGTGCCTGCCATCCTGTCAGGGCAGGACCTGCCGTGGGGATGCTCCAATCACAACACAGAGAGGACTGGAAATGCATCAGGTCTGGAGTAAAATGAGCATAAAATGACTTTGCTTGGGACACACTGGTTGTGTGACAGGGAGGTCACTGCCAGGCACTGTCCCTGTGACAAAAGTCCACAGACCAGAGCACCAGGAACTGGGATTAGCTCAGCTGGTCACAGTGTGGTGCTGATAACACCAAAGCTGTGGGTTTGATCCCTGTAAGGGCCATCCACTTAAGAGCTGGACTCCATGGTCCTTGTGGGTCCCTTTCCTACTCAGAATATTTTGGGATTGTGTCCTTCATTTCACAGCTTCATCACATTCCACCTCTACCTGTCCAACATCCAGCTGGGAGGAGTGAATCAGACTTACTGGAACCTGGAACTTTCTGTGACTCTGCCCTGGACACAGCGGGGTTGATCCTCATCGACCATCACCAACAAGGTCACAGAATCCCAGAACCCCCAAGGATCATCAAGACCAACCTTTAACCCTGCAAAGGGCCAATTCCCAAGAGTCAGACCATGTGCTTGAGAGGATCATCCAAACAGATGACAGATCTTGAGCTCTGGCAGCCTTGGGGCTGTGCCCACTGCCCTGGGGAGCCTGTTCAGCACCCAACCACCCTCTGGGGGAAGAACCTTTTCCTGAGATCCAACCTAAACCTTTCCCTGGCACAACTTCGGGCCATTCCCCAGGGTTCTGCCACAGAGCAGAGCTCAGTGCCTGCCCCTCCTCTTCCCCTCATGAGGAAGTTTTAGCCTGCAACCAAGTGTCCCTTCATCCTCCTCCTCTCCGGGCTGAGCACACCGAGCACCCTCAGCCGCATCCATCAATCCCTCTGAGCCCAACAGCTCCTGGAGCACCCCCGGGACAGCCCAAGCCCCTCAGCCTCACCTTCCACGCAGTGCTCCACCTCCTCCAGGTTGCGCAGGGTGATCCTCATGAGGCTGGAGTTGAGCATGAGCTCGTTGCGGTGCGCGGGCCACAGGTACTGCGGGGCGGGGTTGACGAAGAAGATGCGCGTGTCCCCCGTGGACACCTGGTTGTCGCAGATCAGCGGGTCCCCGAAGCCACCAATGACCACCTTGTTCCCCCCGTCCAGCAGGATCTCGTGGGTGACGATGTCCTTGCCCTTCAGGTAGCGCCAGACTCTCACCTTGGGGGAGAAGAAGGAGAAGGAGCTCGTGAGGGCGTCTCTGACCTGGCTCGATTTTTCACGGCGCTCCCAGCAGGGCTAATTCCATCAGCTCTGAAAGCACGGAATGTGTGGGCAACAGGGAGAAAAAGCCCTCTGCTGCAGGTCTCCCTGGCTCCCGAGGAAATCTCAGCATGGAGGGAGAAGAAAGCACTTCTGAATGAAAAAAAAGAAAAAAAAAAAGGGTTTGAAAGGAGCATTAAGTGGCTGGAAGTGCCAGTTGGGGAAGGGCTGCAGAGCTAAAGAGAGCGCTGTCCGTCCACGGGGGAGGCTCTGAAGTGCAGCACAGGAGCCTCACACTGGGGCAGGGGGAGGGAGGTGGGTTGGGTGGAGGGAAAGAAGGGAGTCTGGTGGCTCTGACAGGCCGCTGGTACCTTGAGAAAACAAAGGCAGAGCGGATAATGTTGCAGGCAGAAATATCAAAGTTAACTCACGTTCCTCTAAATTACTAAATAAAACCATGGCAAGCTGGATTTGGTAAAACGCATGGAGGGTTTGGCAGGAGGAGCCCATCTCCCTGTGCTCATCCAAACTTCAGGCATAAAAATAAGTCCTGGCCACAAGAGTTAGTGGCCACTAACTGCCAGTGGTTCCAGGGCAGTGCCCCTGCGCTCCAGTGCCGGCTCATCCCTCTCTCTGCAGCAAACACCCACCCAGGAGGGAAGCAGCAGCTCTCAAATGAACCTTGGTGCACGCAGGACACCAGAGGCACGTCCCCACCCGCTCCTGCTGGGTCAGAAATCCTCCTGCTGCGATTCCATCGCGGGGAAACGCGGCCCAGAGCAGAGCCAGCAGGAACAGCTCATCCGAGGTCTGTGCTCAGAGCAAGGGAGGCTGCTGGGAGCAGGGGCATTGCTGTGACCACAGGCATCCATCCCTGGGCTGGCTGGCTCAGAGCTGCTCCATCACACTCTGCCATCATCTCCCTCCATCATCTCCCAGCCCCGAGGGCACTTCAGCACCCCGTGCCAAGCCCGGAGCAGCCAGGGAGGTGGTGGCTCAGAGATAAGGGGGCTCTCTGCTTTAAGAGCCTAATTCCAGAGGGGCAGAGGGTGGATGTTCACAGGCAGCTGGGCAGACAGGTCTCTCTCACCCTCAGGGGACACTGAGGGTGGCAGAGAGGCAGATTGTTCCTGCCACAGATTCTGTGCTTGATGCTGGGGTTGGGAATGGGGGGAGAATTGTTACAACCGAGGAGGAAAGCACAGAGCAGACTTGATCCCACTTGAGAATTAACCATTTCTAGAGTTCTCTGCCACTGCAGCTCAGTGGCCTCTGCCCTGCACAGCCCTTCAAGTGCATTGTGCTCCCCTGCAGGCTTCTGTGAGACCCTTCAGACAGAGAGACTCTTCCTCTTTGCCAAACACCTCCATCCTCTCACTCAGTGACTGCAGAAGACACACGCAAAGATCTGATGCTGCAGAGTTCAAACAGGAGGGTAAAAGCCTGCTGAGGGGTAGGGGGAATGCAAGTCTCCTGACCTGTCATCAATCCTGTCCATTTTTGAAGCCCTAACTCCAGAATTTCAGGGGAGTGAGCTCAGCACTCAATCCTGATCCAGAGGCTTCAAGGTCCATAGTGATCTTGAGCCAAAGTCCTGCTCACTGTCCCTGCCACAGTTAGGAGCAGGCAGCTACAGAGAGACATTCCCTGTAGGAACAGGGCCATTCCCACTGCCACAGGAGCAGGCAGGCTGGGGTCAGACCCTCCTGCTCAGCACCAGACTCACCTGTCAAGCAGGAAAAGGGAGCAGATTTAGTGTTGCCTGTACTCTGCAAGTACAAATGAAGGTTAAGAACAAAGTTTAAGAATGTATTTCATTCTCAAATCCTCCCTATTTCTCACACCTCCCTCCTCGAGGTGTAACATTTGTCCTCCTTGGAGAAGAAGCCTGGATTTATGGGTCTCAGCTCCCATCCAGCCCGGCGAGTCCTGCGATGCAAACAGCAATATATTATCCAAACTACAGCTCCATTTACCGGGGTGAGCCCTGTTCTCCTGCATACCTGAGCTCAAAAACCACCCCGGGTATTAAACAGGGCTGTGACAGCTCCTCTCTGGAAGCTGCACATGCCTTAGCTGCTCCCAGGCGTGGAGAGGTTTGCTGCAGACAGGTCACCCACGTGTTCTCACACTCATCCGTCTGCCAGCCCCAAGGGAGTCAGCACCCCGTGGGTGCCGAGCCATTCCACAGCACCAGAGCTCAGGGAATAACTCACACTCCAGGATATGTGGGCCCTGCCCAGCCCAAAACCAAGCTGCTGGGCAGGGGGAAGGAGAGGGATGGGGAGAGCAGCGCCTTCAAAGCCACGGGGGGGTTGGAATGAGATGGTCCTTAAGGTCTACAACTTCCTCAGGAGGGGCAGGTCTGATCTCTGCTCTCTGGTGACCAGTGACAGGATCTGAGGGAATGGCTGGAGCTGTGGCAGGGCAAGGTTAGGTTGGGTATCAGGGAAAGGTTTAGGTTGGGTATCAGGGAAAGGTTTTTCCCCCAGAGGGTGGTTGGGCACTGAACAGGCTCTCCAGGGTTTGGTCACGGCCCCAAAGCTGCCAGAGCTCCAGGGGTGTTTGGACAATGCTCTGAGGGACAGGGTGGGATTGTTGGGGTGTCTGTGCAGGGCCAGGGGTTGGACCTGGATGATCCTTGTGGGTCCAACTCAGGATATTTTGTGATTCTATGATTCTAAGATCCCTTCCAACCCCAACCACTCCACGGTTCTCTGAAGAAACCTGCACAGCACCAGCTTCGTTTTTGAGAGAGATGGAACCCCACCAGCACTCAGAGGGAGCCTCAGATGGCAAGGGGAGCTGGGACAGGCAGCTTCCCTCCCCTCTGATACGACAGGGATCCCACCATCCACACTGACATCTGCTCCACCTCACGGGGCAGCCCCTTCAAAGAGCCTTTTTGGGGCCACCCGCAGCCGTGGCACCCCGGCTGAGCGGGGTTCTGGGGAGCACCAGCCTGTGCCAGCACCAGCCTCCTGCCTCCCCAGCAGGGACCAGCTGTTTCTCCAGCGTTTCCCAGCAGCTCGGCTCCCCGCGGTTGTGCTTCTCTCCCCGCAGTCAAGTCAAGACACCTTCCTGCAGCCCCACCTCCTCCTCCTCCTCGGCGCCCGCAGGGCAGGCGCTCTGAGAAGTGCACGAGCAACCAGGGTGAAAACCCAGCAATACAAAGGAGACAAAAGGGAGAAAAGGGAAAAAAAATAAAAATAATAATAATAAAAAAAATACACCAGGCAGGCAGAAAGCACAGCCCGAGGCTGGTGCTGCAAAAGGTGGATGTGGGGCATTTTCACAGCTAGGGCTGAGGGGGGAGAAAGGCTCAAGCCCACCCCACTGCTCTGCAGCAGATGGTAATTTGAGTTAATTGGCATGGCTGTTCCAGTCAGACACCTCAGAGCCAGGCCACAGCACTCACAAGCAACATCAGAGTCCAGCAGCTTTCTCCCCACCCTTCTCCTCTATAATGAATGAATAGGAAGGCACCAAAGACCAAGCAATTACCTGTAGGGCATCCCATTCATCATCACACACAATTAAGACTTTGTCACCGGTGACTCACCGGCTGCACCAAGGACTGGGGAAGGAAAGGAAGAGAGAGAAAGAGAGAGAGAGAAAATTGGGCTGTAACCTATTCCCAAGAAGTCCCTTCCCTATAGCAGACTCACTCACTCAATCCTTTGCCAGGGAGCACATAAAACACTGGATTAAGACTGTTTTACAAGACTCCTGGCAGCTACAGGGAGGCAGAGTAAGAGCAGCAATAACTTTATTCAAGCAGATCCTTGCAAGGGTGTATTTTAAGCGGGGCAAAAAAACCCCACAGAAAGTAAAAGGATTTTTCCAGCATGCCACGGGGGGGGGGCCATGCCACAGGGAAGGGGACCACCTGTGCAGTGCTACCAAATTCCTGCCAGGAATATGCCTCGAGAAATGGTTTTGTAAAGCAAGATGAGAAGTTAGAGCAGCCTCCTCTTGCAGATGTCTGGATGGACAGCAGGAAGAAGGGTCAACATGAGATTTTTGGCAGTTCTGGGAGATGAAGGCCAGCATCAGCTTCACTCTGCCCAACCCTTCCCTCCCTGACCACATCCCACCCCTCTCCCCCTTTTTGTCACTCTCAGCTGCCCTTTCCCCAGGAGCTCCCAAACCCACCTCCCCCAGCAACTTCCACATCCCCCCCAGCCTGGAGAACAGCCACAGTTACCCCCCAAAATAGGGGCTCCATTGTCTGGAACAGGATCCACATCCTTTTCGACACTTCCTATGGCACATATAGAACCTGGGCTTGTCCTATAAATAGGAGCTGCCTTCATAAATATCAGGTCAGCCCAGAAAAAGGCACATCAGAGGGCTCAGAGCAGGAAGGACAAGGCCAACACAGAGGAGGAGCAGCAGCACCAAGAGCTCGGGAAGCAGGGAGAGCCCAGAGCCTGTTCCTGTGTCAAACCCCTCGGAGCAGCAGCACATCAGCCAGTTCCAGGGAGTTCTGTCAGCCTGTTCTTCCCTTTTTCATCTCCTCTCCCAGCACACGAATGGCTGATAGCTATTTATGAGTGTTTATCTAACATTAACTTCGCATTTCTCCTGAGTTGTAATGTGCTTATCTTCATCTATCAAAGGCTTCAGCTGGGAGGGTTTGGAGTTTAACTGGGGAGAACAATACCCCAGTGCAGCACTCGCAGATATCCACATGCCTGCTCCCTCCCAGACCACCCAGCACCAGTAACACTCACTATTTTGGGTGTGGGCCCCAGGGAACTCCCACCGCACACTTGGCCCTTGCCTCCCCTCTGCAGATAAAGAAGAACCTGACAGGAGATAACTGCGGGATCTGGAGGTAACCCCAGGGAATGACAGCGAGGAATTGCACCTGAATTTCCTCACCAGGCTCTGTTCCTGGGCTTATCCCAGTCCCACAGGGCAGCAGGGTCCGTGTGAGGGCAGAGCTCAGGTTTAATGCCCAAACTGCCCTGTTGGAATTCAGGTGCTTGGTATTAAAAAAATAAAACCAGAACAACCAACCCAAATCAAACTCCAGGCATGCCTAACCCGGCATCAGCAGAATCCAGAGCAATTCCAACACTTTGGGAGATCTTGGAGTGAAACAAGCCAACAGCTGCTGCAGAGCTACTCATTTACAAGTCATTATAGTTAGGGGAGATTTATCTGCTTTCAGGTCCTTAAGACACCTCAAGTCCCATTTCAAAGCTTTTTTTTCCCTGCAAACACGCTATGAAATGCCACTAAAAATGCCACAGAGCAGGCTGATGTGCAGGTAAAGGGCCTGAGAACCACTGTGCTATGAGGAGTGCTAAATGTCACAGCGTGACCAGGAACGGGATGGGCACTTCCATCTAAGGCAGGAGAGGAGGTTTTCCTCCTTTCACTTTCTCTTACAGGACTCCAGGACTGAAACAGGATCTTCTTCTTGGCCTTCAGGTGCTGTTATAACACTAAGAATGGGCAGGAGCAAAATCCCACCATTAACTCCGGAGCGAGTAGCGCAAGCATTGCTGGGGTGGCTCAGGGAAAGGCAAGAGATTCCCTTCCCGAGATAAGGAATGCCAACTGCGTTTCACATAAAGCCACCATAGGCAGCCCAGGTTCCCTCCCTGGCTGCTCCAGCTCGGGCTGGATGGATTGCACCTTCCAAAGGCAGAGAGAGCTGCTGAGCCAGCAGGTTTTCCCATCGCGGCGTTTCCTGGCCCAGGGTCTCGCTCTGATGCGGCGAGATGGTTTTACACCAGCCAGACACCTCGCTGCGCGTCTGCGGTGCGAGCAAAGAGCCTCGCTTTTCAGATGGGCATTTCCGCCTCATCACCGGCCTCCCTGGACCACCTCCCTCGTGGCACCCCTGCCCCAGCCTCAGGTGGCCACATCCACCCACCATCTGTGCCCGGCGCTGCCGCAGGACACCGGCTGCGAGCAGCAGCTCATTAATTTTCCACGTAGCACCCAGGATGTGCCAGACACTCCGCAAACATACGGTCCCTGCTCCAGCCTGGAGGGTCTGTGATCTAATTTGCGAGGTACAGATTGTTCCGCGCGGGGCAGAGCAGGCGGGAGGCACCGGGCACCAGCTGGGCAGGCAGAGGCTGCTCGGCTGCTTCCCTGGGCTGAGAGAGATGCTCCGGAACACGGGGCAACACCACGGCGTGAAGTTCACCCCGGCAGAGCTCTCCCACCAACGCACCGCTGAGCATCACCCCAGGCCCTGCTTAGCGCCAAACCACAGGCAGGAACCGCAGGATTTTTTTTTTAAGGATGGGCAGAGAAAAGGGGATGGGGGGGGGGAGAAGAGGAAAAGGCAGCGTAGCAGCATGTCCTTGCAAGTGAGATTCCTGCCCCGGGAAGGGTTAAGCCATCCAGCACGTTTTCTGTCAAGCAGGCGGATGGTATTTCAGGTTGCTCAGTACTTCACCGTCTCTCAGCTTAGGGGGGGAGGAAAAAAAAAACCATAGCCAGAGGCCAGATTCGTAGTTAAACAATAGCTCGAGCTGGAGGAACTCAAGATGCTGCTAAAGTAAACAGGGAGCCCTGGGGTAGAGGCAGCGAGTGGCTCCGAGCACCTTCCCGGCAGCCCGAACCCTGCCAGAGAGAAAGTTGGGAACCGGCTCCCGCATCACGGCAAGGAGGGAAATGCCCATAAAAAGCAACCTTGAGAGATTCCCCCTCGACACAGCTGCGGGAGCGACTCCGCAGTCTAAAAATACCTAATTACACCCCAAAGCCCCGGCGCACACAATCAGAACCACATGCGCCCTAAACCCGGCCGGCGCCCGTCGGGAGAGGGGGGGAGGGGGGTGAAAGTTCCCCCCGGCACCCCCTTACCTTGCAGGAGTAGGTGTGGTGGACCGGATCCACGTTCATGATCTCCTCCACCGTGCCCGTCAGCACCACGTTGGCCTCCTCCTCCCTCCGCTCCAGCTCCCGCTCGGGGCAGGTCGCCAGTCCCAGTCCTAATCCCAGTCCCAGCAGCGCCAGCAGCGCCCGGGCACCGTCCGCCCGCTGTGCCCCCATGGCCCCGGTCCGGTCCCGCTGCCGGCCCGGTCCCGGTCCCCCGACGGCGCGGGCAGACAAAGCGGCCCCGCTCGCAGGCGCAGGGAGAAGGGCTACTTTTGTTCGAGGAGGTGAAAAGGAGGAAAGAAAGAGAGGAGGGAGGGAGGCAGCGAGGGGAGGGGAGAGCAGGGGAGGGGAGAAGGAGGAAAATCCCAGGAGGAGGAGGAGGAGGAGGAGGAGGAGGAGGAGGAGATATCTCTCCGTGAAGCCGCGGCCGGCGAGCAGCGCTCGGTCCTCTCTGCCTTGCCCCTGTAAGAAAGCCCGCAGATTTGCATGCAATCTGAATTGCTGATAAGGAAGGGAGAGGGGGCAGGGGGGGAGAGAGGAGGGAGGGGGGGAGAGAGAGAGAAAGGGAGGAAGGCAGCGAGTCCGCCCGCCCTGCTGCCAGCTCTTATTGCGGAGCTGCCGCGAACGCCACCCCCAGGAAAAGGGAGCTCGCCTCGGGTTAATGGATAATCAGCGCCGCAACGTGAGGAGACTTTTAAAGGTGTAGGGACCGCAGCCGGCCCCGCTGCCCCCCCCAATATGAGCGGCAGCTGGAGCCCAGCCCCGTCAGGGGGTTCCCTCCCCCGCGGGGGTCGGACCCCGGCGTTTCCATCCCCCTGTTTCGCCCCTGGGAGCTGCCACCAGGGATGCTCCTGGTTTTCCCGTGGGGAAACTGAGGCGGGGTTGGTCCTGCTCCGTAGAGATGCGACGAGTGCTCCATGCCGGGGCAAACCGAGCCACCCACGCCTGGGCCATCACCCGCTCCCCGGGGTTCCCGGGGGGAGATGGTGCTCAGGGAGAGGGGCTCAGGGTGTACCCCGACCACAGAGCCACCCACCCTCCCGTGGGATGATGGAATCGCGGGATCACGGAATGATTTGGGTTGGAAGGGACCTTAAAGATCACCCAGTCTCACCCCCTGCCACGGGCAGGGACACCTTCCACTATCCCGGGTTGCTCCAAGCCCCGTCCAGCCTGGCCTTGAACACTCCCAGGGAATAGGGGGTGTCTGCCCCTGGAGCACCGTGACCTCCTGCCCCGGCTTTTCCTCGGGGAACTGGACGGCAATTTTTCCAGATGTCATGTGCAATTACTGCAGATATAAAATGAAAAGTTAAGTGGCACCAGGGGAGGGATATTGTTTCTCCCCTCCATAAATTAGCCAGCCCCCAGAGGCGATTTACAAGGCTGTTTTACTTGATGGCCCTAAACAAGTCCCGTTTGTGACCCAGGGTGAATTACCAATCCCAGGGTGAAGTTTAACCACTGCCAGTGCCACCGTGCCAGGAGAGGGATGACAAATGATGTGCCCCCTATGTCCTTCCCTGATGAACATGTTTCAACACACAGCAGCATCCTGCCCTCAGCAGCTCTGCATCCCCATCCTGCTCGTGCCCTAAATTCTGAGCAGCCTGTTTGTGCTGTTTGCCCCTGCAACTGTGGATGTGCCAATCCTTTTTGTCTCCCCTGGAACAGAAACAGAGCTTAGCTACAAGATAGGAATAAATGAATCTGAATGTTCAAAACGCTGTCCAAGCCTACCTTCTACCCTGAAGAGGATGAAACTCCAGAGATCACATAAACCTGGAGGAATCCCAGCTGCTGGGTGGTTTACAGAGGAGGCAAACTGTGCATTTTCTGTCTTAAACCAGGCACTTGGCATTCCCACAGTGGCTTTGTCTCAATGCTGGGGCTGTTCTTGTAAACCCCACGCCCCCTCCCAGCTCTCATTCCACTCAAAGCTCCCGTTTCTGCCCCATAAATCTGGGTTCCCAGCTCAGCCCTGAAGGAAGGCTGCCTGTTCCAAAGCATGAATTATTTTATCACCTCGGTGAGGGCTTCAGGGAGATGTTTTTCAGAAGAAAGTGGCCCACAGTGCACTCAGGCCTGCAGGAAACCTGCCTTCACCTGGCAGGGTGTAACTCTCCCAGAGCTGCCTGTAAAACCCCAGGGACCATCCTGTGACAAGAAGGTGCCACAGGGCGAAGTGACCTGAAGCAGGATACACAACATCACGTTTTCTTACCAAAAAAACTTCCCCAAAAAATGTGATTTCTGGATGAGCTGCAGTGGGAAGACTCCATCCATCCCAAGCCAAACCCAGGCCCTGCAGTCATCCCTGTGGAGGTTCCTCACAAAGGGCTCCACTAGTACATCACTGCTCCTACAAACTCCAGCAATCAGCTAAAAATATTTCACGGTGCCTGGCAGATTATTTTTTTCCCCCCGTTTTAATTATTAATTTTTATTGTATTCCTCGAGCGCTGCTCGACTGTAAATCACAGGAACAAACCTCAACTCAGGGCTGGAAGAAACCAGCTGTGACACTCTGCTCCAGCACTTCGAGGAGAGGAGAGGGGAAGAATTATTTACACTGTGTTTGTACTATTTTCTGTTTGTTAGTTCTCTCCTTTTAGCCCCACCCCACCATCTGCTTTCAAAGCTGTGAAGGGAAAAATGGATTTCACAGGCTTTTTTTTTTTTTTTAATGTATTTGCCCCCAATCTGGTGGGTTCTTTGAGTGGACTTACTCAGCCTTGTAGGCTTTTTTGGGGGAGGTGAGACACGAGCAGCCCGGGTTCTCAATCTCCTCGTGCAGGTTTAATAGAGTTCAAGAAAGAGAAGGGTTTTCCAAAGGAAAGCAGGAGAGGGAGAGCAGCTATTATTTCCTTCTGCCAAACTCTGAAAAAGTCCTCTGTGTAGATTAAACAATGAAAAAAATGTTATTTTCAATTCTATGTCATTACAGCCAACAGAATCATAATAATGCACCTAAAATGTGTGTCCACAATATATCAGGTATACATTTTTGGGAAAAGAGAAAAATAAAAAAAAAGACATTCTAAGCTTGTTAAAAGGATAATGGTCCCATATTTTTTATTACAGGTTAGCAAAACCAAATCCAATGGATTACAATATTTACATGTTATTTGAAAAATTAAGTAGTGAGCACCTTTTTAGGGACAACCTGCACATTCCCACACGGCATCGCTGAAACCTCACACTGGTAAGAGGAGAAACAGGCCGAGAAACTGATGGTTCTGTGGGAAAACTGGGAAAAACTCTTTGGCAAATCAGTGCATGAAATAAAAAAACCTTATAACTGGCAAAAACACCCCAGAACCCCGGGCTTTGTGCCGGCCCTTCACGGCAAACCTGGGCCTTGCAAAAGCTCCCCTGAACTCGTTTGGAGTCGGCTCTGAAAAAACCCAAATATCTCACAAAACCCACAAGGAATGACACAGTGGAGTTTGGACGGAAATTCCAAGGTTTTTTTAAGGGGAGGAGGGCTAAAATTTGGGGAGAGGAGAGGGAGGGGGTGCTCTGTGATCATCCCTCTCGGGTGGTTTCACAAAGCCCCCCCTGGGGCTGTGCCATCCTGGCACTGCTCAGCTGAGCGACTCTGACCCGCAGACACCTGTTTGTCTCCCAGCTCCGGGGATGTCCAGGGTTATTTCTTACACATCTGAAGTCAACTTTCTGGGCCAGGCTTCTCCTCCTCATCAGGGCTTTCCCCTCCAGCGGTGGCAGCTGTCACATTTGCAGCAGGATTGTAATTTTTTTTTCTTTTGGAGTCCTTTGAAGATTTTTTTCTAATTTTAACAGCTCGTGGCAAAGGCAGATGAACTTCTTTTGGGCTGGGGCTGAGCAACCCTGCAAAAGTCTCTCATTTATTGTGAGTTCTTGCCTCTCCAGAAGGGCTGCACAGACACTCCTGCTGCACTCAGCGTTTTACTGCAGCATCTCTCCACTCTTCGACCCCGAAGCACTTCCCTTTCATGGTATTTGTTGTCACAGCTCTCAGCCAGGGCTGTCACAAGGGTCATACCTTCATCCTCCAGCTCCTCTCAGTAGGGGCTTGGTGTCTGTGGGCACTTGCTGAGAGCAGATCCTTTAGGGTGTATCAGGTGGGGTGTCCAAGAGTCACGGTATCAGTGACTGTGGAGTAAATCCTTCTGTCTTTGAGGGGTTGGAACTTGATGAAAATGGGATACAGGTTGCCCAGAGAAGCTGTGGGTGCACTGGAAGTGTCCAAGGCCAGGTTGGACGGGGCTTGGAGCAACCTGGGATAGTGAAACGTGTCCCTACCCACGGCAAGGGGTGGGACTGGATGATCTTTCAGGTCCCTTCCAATCCCAAACCGTTCCTTATTCTGTGATTCCGGGCCCAGAGCAGAGCCCATCCCTCACACTGCTGTGGCACACACACGTCAGAGCAGGAAACCCACAGGATTTTAAGCCAAGCCTTTAAAGCAAATAAAAGCCCTGTGTGAATACCCTGGCAAAGCAAAACCCGGCCCCGCCGCCGGTCGGAAATGCTTCCCCAGGGGTGAGAAACCTTGTCCCCGTTCCTGCTTGGGCTGGCCCCTGGTTCCCTCACTGGCTGTCTCTACACCCCACTGGCTGGTTTTTCTGCTCCATCTCTGATAAGCTCCAAGACATGTTTTAATGTGCTTTTCTTCCCCCCCCTCCCTCCCTTTCTCTTTTAAGTTAATCCCTCTCGGTGGTTTCTGACATTGTCAAATGTCTTTTGTGTACTGTTAGAAAACCTCTTGATGTAGCTACAGAGCAGCTGCTAACAAGTTGCCCCTGGGATCCTCCATCTATGAGGCTGTCTGGCTGTATAATGACTTTCAAATAAGTAAATCTATTAATGAGATCTCAGTGGGAGCAGCTCCCTGTCAGAGGACCCACACGCAGGGGCTTCATCCCGCTTTGGCCACGATGGGCTCTGCAGCATCCAAGGGGAGTGACAGAGAGCTGCTGTCCCCCTGCAGGGGTGAGGGGCAGGACCACTTGGATCAGTGGCTGGTGACCAGCAAAGCCCTTTCCCCTTAGTTAAGGGGGAAAACAAGGAGCACGTGGGAATCTGTCACATCCTCCGGACACAAATTCAATTCTTCCTCCCCGAATCGGCCTTAAAAATTCAAAGCTAATCTTCTGAAATGTCAGTTTTGCCCCAAGATTTAGGAGCTGCTGGCGTCCAAGCTCTTCTCCACAGCGTGATCCTAAACCCTCAGCTTTAAAAGCAGGGAATTATGCTGAATTTGCACGTGTTCACGTGACTCCAGGAATCTGAGCATAAAAACCCCAAACCACTGAGTGTTATGTGCTGTAATAACAGGGTAGGAGAAATTCAGCCTGGTCTGTGATGGCACGAGATGAAGGGCTGCAGTCAGGCAGGGAAGAGGGTTTTTTGTGTCCATACACAGCAGATCAGAGCGACACACACTCGTACAGGTGCCACCTCACTGCCTTTTAGTGGCCATGAACCTCCAGCATGGTTTAGGACTTAACCTAGCAACCCCTCAGCTTGGGGACAAAAGCATCCAGTGAACCACAATGACTCTTTTAATCAAAAAAAAAAAAAAAAGAAAAGAAAAAAAAAGAAATAA